CTTCGAGCATCCTCTCTCTGTCCTTTGTTTCTTCCTAAGCCATCAATTCCCTCCTGATGTGATTTGTTTTAAAGTTTCACCTGACAAAGAATACAGCATTGGGTTTAACTTCATATAGCTTCCCATCTTTGTACCATAGCCGTTTCTCATTGTAGACCATGTAAGCGTAGTTGACTGACCCAGTAGCAGCATTGGCTTTACAAAGAGAAATAGCTTTCTGGACTCCTTGGCTTTTGTTGTCTAGTTTGCCAGTATCTGTCATGGGAGCCTCAGACCCTCTCTCTCTTCACTTCAGGATGTTAACTAATTCATCATCAAAAGTGCCGTTTGTTGTGAGAAGGATGGAACAATCCCTTTACCTGAACCCCTGATGAAAGACCTACCTGGCATTTAGGAGGACATGGGTGTTTTACGACATGAAAGAGCACTGGCAAAGTCCCATGGTCTACCACATAAGGTGTCTTGCTCAAAAGTCCAGATGTCCATAGTATGTGATCTCAAAAGTCTATCCCTTGAAAATATTTCTGAGCCCAGATCCCAGTGTGTTGCACACTCTCAGCACTGTTGTTTCTCTTTTGAAGTGGCGAAACGTAGATGACAGCATTTTAAATATTTCCTTTTTCAGTCCTGCTGGGACCCCCTGTACATGAGTATTGGGATACTTGGCCAGTGAGGCGTATGGTCCTCAGGCTTTGGGACCAGTGGGGCAGCTCAGTGCCTGCATGGCTGAGCTATGTCTCTCAGGGTCTCTAAGGGCATGCCATCATGCCATGTTTTCCTGTTACACGCTTCAATTAAAGCATGACAAATTCACCTGAAATCACTGTAACTTTGGATGCAGGTGAGGTGTTATTCTTTTCCCCTTGAGGTCTTAGTAGACAACTAAACGACTGGTGAAGCAGAATCCTCGGCAATTAATAACTTTCCCATACCTACTGATGGGATTTATGGGTTGTTGTTTTTGTTGTTGCTGGTTTTTTTAATAGTACATAGGTCCTGGGGAGAAGGACCTCCTTGTTTTGTGTTGCAGTGACGCACTCTTTTGTGGTTTGGTTGAGATGCCAAGATGCCAGACTTGGACAGAACATTGCCTATCATCTCTGTTTCTTAAGCAGAAAAGGATGGGAATGCCGTTGATGAGGAGATTGTGGGAAGGATGGTATTAAAACAATGTAGAAAATGTGGCCATTTTGAGACAGCTGTGGGCTAAGGAACATTAGTAATCCCGGGAGCAAAGGGGGGCTTGGCACGGGTTGGCAGGGCGTTGGGTTCCCAGCACTTCCATACAAACCTGAACTTCATTACAGTGAAAACTTTTTGCCTGGAAAACAGTACTCCATTCCAGGCACTTCTATTAGATGCCATCCTGCCTGGTGCTCTTTTCATTTTCCCCACTTCATTTGAAAGTATCCTAATAATTTCGGTACCAGGATCTTACACTATTACTGAAGGAGAGCTTGGGATATGTGGGCACAAAGCAGTGCTAAATACTTCAGTGGTTAGTAATTTTTCTCCCCAAACATGCAGAAATGATTCAGGTGGTTAAACAACAAGATGGATTTTCCTAGCAGGGGGGTGATACTGGGAATTTAACAACTGTGGAAAACACATTTTCCACACTGAAATTAGGGGATTTGCTTGTGCGTGGAAACTGTCCTGAATTGCAGACTTCAGAACTGATGAGTACGTAACGTGGTCTCAGAGAAATGAAACTGTAAAGAGTAGGGGGGGAGAAGGTGAGTATAGAAGCAAATGGAAGTGAGTGAAGAGGCAGGTGTGTACAGAAGCAAGTGGCACAAATACACACCATTGCTGTTGCAGTGGCAGGCTGACGTGCAGGAACACAGGAGCCCGTCCCAGCCAGATGAAAGTGAGGGCTTTGCCCAAGCATTTCAGCGTGTTCTCATAAACTTGAGCACAAAAAGAAACCCAAATGTCTGGCACCAGGATATTACGTAATGTTCTACATTCTCATTGTCAGAGATCCTTGGTCAGGGCTGCTGCTGGGCCGAGCATTGCTGCTGGATCCCTATCCTGAGGTGCCTCTGCACAAGTGGAGGAGAGGACTCCTGGCACTGCTCCCTTTGGTGTTCAGCCGCCACTTCTGTGGGACGTACAAGGCAGTGCTGTGTGTGCATCTGTGATAGAAGTTGATGCATTTGCTACTCTCTTTCCCCTCTCTTTCCAGTTTAATTGGGTTTGCTGCTAAGTCCCACTCTTCCCCACCACTGGCTGTGTCATAGGAGAGGCAGAGCAAGAGGGGGAAGGACGTGTTCCTTGTGCTGTGACATGGTGTGGTGTGATGTTTGTGTCTCAGCTGCCTTCATCCCAGGCAAGCGCACCCTGTACTCGCTGCCCTGTTGCTCATGATGCCGCAGTTCCCTGGGGTGCATTGTGTGAAGCTGACAGCTTCCTCTGCTCTGCTCATCGTCTGCTCATGGCCAAGGGCTGCCACATTGCTTCTTCCTTTCATTCTGTGGCTGGATTCTTGCTAGCTTTAATATAGGTGTCATGTTATGACAGATCTGGAGGTGGCTTTTGGCTTCCATTACCTGTTTCCATCTTCCCCTGTTCCACCACCTTCTTGAACTCATACTTGCCTTGCTTGCTTCTCTCCTGGCTGTGTGTCTGTTCTGTCAGTCTAAATATCACCTGTTTTCATCAGGCTTAGAAATGTCATTGCTCTTTTCACCTCTGTGCCAGGGACTGGGCCAGCTCTGCCCTTGGGGCTGCTTTCCCTGAGCTCGAACTTGGGGTCCATGGCTTCCTGCAAAGCCCCTCCTTGAGAACAGATGGGAAGGGATTCCACTCTGCTCTTTCCTCACCTCCTAATAAAACCCACCCCCCAAATCACTGGGAGCTTGGAGCCAACACGGGTTGCCCTTGAGGGTCAGTGCTGCTCCTTTCTGTCTCTACTTTGCACGTGCCCATTGTTGTAAAACATCCTCCTCCTGCCATTATGGCTTAATGACTTTCCCTTCAACTTCTCAAGAGGTATTAATGTCTCCATTAACAGCCACCAGAAATGGAGGCTCCATATATCACATAGCAGCTCCCCATCCTTCTCCTGCACAAGTTTCAGAAGCAGTTAAAATGTAGCCGTGGAGAAAATTAATGGCCCAATGTACAAAATCTGTAATTGCTGCTAGCAGCGAGGAGGAGGTGGAAGTGCTCAATCTTCGTGTAATTAAGTGCCTTGTTCTGTGCCCATGTGCTTCACACACAAGCAGTGGTAGGAGGAAGGTGGCACCTAGGTAGGGGCCTTTGCCCAGCGCTGCATAAGGGGAGGTGTTGTGGCATGGCTGTTCCGTGCCCACTGCCCCCAGCTGCCCCGTGCCCTCAGGCCCTGTTGCTGTCACAGAGAGCAGAGCTCAGCGCTGCCCTTCCGCTCCCTGTGAGGAGCTGCAGCTGCCATCAGGCCTCCCCTCAGCTCCTCGTGGCCTCGGCTGCTCCTCACACACCTTGCCCTCAGCTCCATTTCAGAGAGGGAGGGCTGCAATACTCTGGGGCGCCTGCTGGCTGCTGCCTGTCTGTCCTCACACCTGAGTCAGCCACCCACAGCAGTTGGGTGTTCTTACAGTTTTGTGTGCACTTAAAAAGGCTGCTAAGAGCAGCTGACTGCCATCAGGGCTTTTGGGCTCGGGGTCTTGTTCCCTCAGAGCAAACCAGCAGGTCATGTCACCCTGCGCCTGGCCCGGCCACAGCTGTGGGGAAGTGACAATGGGAACTGGAATCCTGAGGGACCTCCTCAGCCCCAGCGCTGCAGCTACTGAGAGGTGGAACATCAGCACAGCTTTTTGGGAGGAACAAAACAAAGCAGCAGAACGCTTTTCACCTAAGAACAAGATTATTTTAAAAAGACAAAAGCCTGTCAGATGACAAAACATTAATGAATCCATCAATGCTACGAGCTATCCGAGCATTTTCGGTTCTGCCAGCTTTGGGAAAAATAAAAACACTTAAAAAGAGGAGTTTGGCAGGATATGATGGTAGGGGTGCACAACACCCACTCATTCTATATACTGAGTAGTCCTTCAGCCCAAAAGAGCAGCAGACCGCCCTTCCCGCTCCCTGGGCGGTTGGTGGGGGCACTGAGCAGTGCCCTGCTCTCTGCAGCGGGAGTGTCAGTGGAGCTCATGATGAGGCCCATAGCTGGAGATGGCATTTTGAACCTGGAAGTTGCCTCTCTGGCTGGTTTCCTGCAAGAACTACTGCTACAATCTCTGCCCAGGGGGAGACCTGGGAGTTGTTTGGCTACAGAGGGAGGAAGCGTGGCGCAGTCAGAGCACTGTGTTACCTGCATGATGGGTTCAGAGCTACGCCACAGTGGGTGCCTGGCCCTGCAGACACTCGAGGTCAGGCTGGACGGGGCTCTGAACACCCTGATGGAGCTGTAGTTGTCCCTATTCATTGCAGGGGGTTGGACTAGATGGCCTTTAAAGCCAACGTGCAGTAGTGCGTCTCCAGCTGTCATACACGAGTGCAAAACCATCACTTACCAGAACGTTTATTGTAATGGTACATTCACATTTCTCCATGGACGTGTGCGGCTTGTACACCGTCAGGTAATGAAGTTACACAGTTCTGCTCTTTCATGTGCAGTGACTTCAGCCATCAAAGACAATTATAAAACTAACAATAAACAATGCCTCCATATATCTACAGCCAGGTGGGAAAAAATTAGGCGACTTTTCTTTATCACCCCTCTGCAACCGAATTCCCCCAGTTTTTAAGACTTTCTTGTTTAAATAACTGCTGCTATTGCTTTCAACACTTTAGAACGGGGTTGTGAGCGTCAGCACAGAGCCGCACCGCTCAGCTACCCTCATTTTTGCCACTCTGAAGCCCACTGGGGCGCAGTGCCCCCAACAGCATGCCCCGATCCACTCCCAGGTGGATTCTTAGCAGCACTCTGAACAAGTGAGGGCGGTTGCAGCCTTTGGCCAGGCCTCCTCCATGCTGCCAAAGCCCTTCAGAAATGACAGAGATACCGCCACCGATTAGCACGTACAAACATTTATTTTGAAATTTCCGTTCTAACCATTATGAAGAATTACATCATCAAAGCACTTTATGGCAGTGAAAATAGCTCTTACCCCTCTGACTCATCCGTTACTCCATTAAAGCTGCAAAATGTGCAATCTGCTTGAAAAATAGGTTGCTTTTATTCAGTTTCCCACGAAAAGTCAAAATTTAATAACAAAAAAAAAAAAGAAGAAACCCAGCTTATAGGGACTCTACTTCTGCTCCTCTCCCCCTTCCCCAAAAATAACTTACAAAGATAGTTTAAAGTTTTAAATGAGTTTAAAACCAAGTGCATCTTTTTTATTATTTTTTTTTTTTCCATAATAATCTTAAAATTCTAAAAACCCATAATTTACTTTCTTGGAAAAAAGGCAGCAAGCCGTTGCTTCTTTATTGGAAGAATGTGTATTTCGGGCGAGTTCATTTTCTTTAGCTTTACGCTCCTGTTCTTTACGGGTTTCCTAAGCGCCTCGGTGTTGTCCCGCGGCTCGGGCTGGCTCTTCATGTCGTAGCACTGCAGCACTGAGTCCTGGGGCATGTCCCTTTTGAAGGAGAAGTTTTTGGTGGACACCCCCGACAGGCCCTTGATCTTGCCGCAGAAGATGGCGGGCACGGCGTCCTTGACAGAGACGATGACTTTGGCTGTCTGAGAGGTGCTGACGATCTCAATGTTGTTGCCACCGGCCTTGGGTTCGCAGGCCGCCCTCCCGGCTGGTTCCACCAACCACTTCTGTGGCGGCCGCAGGAGCTCACCTGGCCCCGGCCCCACCACCCTGCCCTCCGCCTTGCCTGCAGCCTCCGGTGCTTTGGAAGGGGCGAAGGGGGTGGCCGGCTTGTCCTGCGGGCTGCCCTCGGCACTGGGCCCGCTGCTGGCCATCTCCCCATGGGGACCCCCTGGCTTGCGGCACGAGGAGAGCGACAGGTCCAGTGCCCCGTCCTCAGGAGATGGCGGTGGCGGGGCAGCCTCGCAGGCCCGAGCCATGGGTGGGCTCTTCATGGAGAGGTCCAGCGCCTCGTTCTCGCTGCCCATCTTGATGACAGTGTGGCGGTTTAGCTGGGAGAAGTCCCGCTGGTGGACGAGGTCAAAGGGCTTCGTCTCCTCCTTCTCCAGAGGGGTCTGGGTGCCCTTGCAGGGCTGCGGGGTGAAGAGTGGGGGCTTGGGTGGGTCGGGGGTCACCTTGGCTTCAGCACCATGGGGCATGGGGATGGGGACAGGGATGGGAATGGGCACGGGGACGGGCAGGGGCACGATGACAGGGTAGGGCACCAGCAGCGTGGCAGGGGGCACCAGCGGGGAGAGGGGTGAGCTGAAGGCCTGGGGTGGGAGGGCAGCATAGTCAGGAGGGGGCTGGCAGGGGGCCGAGCCCAGGGCGCCCTGCCCTGAGGGGAAGAGGTCCTGCAGGACTGCGGCGAAACCTGGTGTCTGAAAGACAGGCGGCAGCACGGGCTCCTGGCCTGGGCCTGACGGTTTGGGGTCCAGGAGCTGGGGCTGGCTGACAGGGGCAGAGGCGCCTGGGAAAAGACCACCATGCAGGGGGCTGGCAGGGCAGGCAGTGCCGGGGGGCAGCACCAGGGGCGAGTTGAGGTGCTGAAAAACATGCTGCTCCAGTAGGACTGGTAGTGGGATGGGGCCCTGCGTGGTCATGACGTACGGGGTGGCACCACTGGCCGGCATCTGCGGGGCGGCACTGCCAGCCACCTGCAGGTGGATAGGCAGGACAACGGGGCTGTCCCCCAGGCAGATGGGCTGCAGCACGGTGGCCGCCACCTTCAGTGCCACCCCGCTCTGTGATTCAGCCGGCGGTGTCAGGATGGAGGGAGCAGGGACGGTCACCAGCGGGGACAGGGCCTTCTTCATCAGGTCAGCTGAATTGATGTTCCAGGCCTCCGCTGTGATCAGCTGGGCCACGCCGTTCTCCAGCTTGTTGTTGGCCATGGCCGCCGGTGGGCTGGTGACATCCATGGGCAGGTTGGGAGTCTCCTTGTAGAGCTCCTCCATCTCGCAGGGCTTTGAGGCTCCGCAGCGCCACGCTCACATCGCCGTCAGCAGGATGGGGCTGCCAGGGGCTCCGGCACCGACATCGCTTGGCCTGCAATGCAGAGACGTGGTTTAGGCACTGCATAAATCTCCTCCTTAACAAAACATTTGCGACTGCCTTGAAAGACCCTGTCGCCAAAGCAAGCCCTTGAACGTTTCCACGTTTCAGGATAACGGCTCCACAACTCATAGCGGTAATGTACACAGTGATGCTGTATACACAGACATCCGTGAGTGCTGTACGAACAGTTTTGAGGAACTTATATTTAGCCGTAAACACAGATAATTTAAAGGACCTGAAGGCTGCCTGCAGTCAAAAAAACCCCTCCCGTACGCCAGCCAACCCAAGGGCTTGGGCAGCCCCTTCTGCTGCTTTAAAACAAAGCTCTGCATAATGACAGTGTATGGCAGGGCCCAGAGACAGTGCACTGCTTTAACTCAGCAGGAGCACAAAACCAAATGTTTCTAAATATACACGGCTCAGAAATGTTCCACCGTGGCAGGGTCCTCGGTTCCCCTACAAGAGCTGTTATATTTTCCCCCCATGAGGTTTTACTTAAGTGGGTCAGGCCATTGGTGCAGCAGTACCTCTGACACAGCCTGTCAGGGGTCCAGAGGAAGCCATGAGGATGATCAGAGTGCAGGAGTACCTCTCCTATGAAGAAAGGTTGAAGAAGTTGGGCTTGTTCATCCTGGAGAAGAGAAGACTGCGGGGAGACCTCATTGTGGCTTTCCACAACTTGAGGGGAGCTTATAAACAGGAGGGAGACTGACTTTTTACAAGGGCAGATATCATAGACATTTATGATAGAATCATAAATTTATGATAGAATCATAAATGTCAGAAAACACCACTAAGACCATCTAGTCCAACTGTCAGCCCATCACCACTATGCCTCTAAAAATCACATCCCTCAGTGTCACATCTACATGTTTCTTGAACACCTCAAGGGACAGAAATCCTTCACTCAGAGGGTGGTGAGGCGCTGGCACAGCTGCCCAGAGAAGCTGTGGTGCCCCATTGCTGGAGGCACTCAAGGCCAGGTTGGATGGGGCCCTGAGCTGGTGGGGGGCAGCCCTGCCCATGGCAGGGGTTGGGGCTGGATGGGCTTTAGAGTCCTCTCCAAACCATTCCGTGATTCTGATTCAAATTTACTTTAGCAGCCTGTGTCTTTATCTAAACCAAGCAAATGTCAACAAAAAAAGGACAGAGATTGTTTCTGTTCATGGTGACAGTGAAATCTGCAACCTATTTCCTACAAAGATTAACACTCTGCTCCCCCCATGCTCCCTGCAAAGCAGCGTATTAATGGCGCTGTGCCTTCATTTATTCAGAAGGGTAAATAATTTCCGCCCGCAGATTTTGCCATGCTGCCCGTGCCACTCCTGAAGTGAGCAGCGCATCCTGCGGTAATAATCACCATGGAAACTTGTCCATTTTTAACTCTGTTACCATGGGGAAGCACCGGAGCACCCCAGATTTACATTCCTCACCTGTGCACAGCTGCACGCTGTTACCCAAGAGCAGAGCGCGCACCATCACCACCGCTCCGCATCCTTGGCCCGCAGCAGCCACACGCAGACCCTAAGCCTGTTTTGGGTATGTGAGCTGATGTTGGACTTGATGATCTTAGTGGTCTTTTCCAACTTGAATGATCCCATGGTTGTACGGATGGCCCGGCTGCTCACAGCGCTGCCCTGCTCGCATGGACGGCTGCGGGAGCAGCACCGTCACCTGCCAGCTCAGCGCAGACAGACGCAAAAACCGACCCCGAACAAAGGGCAAACCACGGCCAAGGCAGGGAAACGGGAAACCAGAGCATCCCTCCCGAGGCCTGTAAATCCCCGGGTCTGGCAGCACTGTGTCACGGCCAGAGCAGGACTACAGCAATGTCGGGAGTTAATAGCTGGGGCCGGGCGAGAGAAATCCCGATCATGTATCATCGGGCACATCTGATTTTTAAAGAGGATTTTTAAAAGTAAACAGATGAGTCATTCCTTCTCCCCCGCTGCTGCTGGCTGGGGGAGAATAATTCATGATTCTTCTCATCTCGTGAAACGTTGAGAGGAAAACACGACTGCGGGGTTGAGGGGTTCTGTTTGTTTCCTCACTCAGCACTGGCTGCAGGCAGAGATTCCCCGAGCACGAGAAAGCAGGAGAGAAATAATGCTGATGATTCAGACAGCGAGGAGCAGCGGCACCAACACAAGCAGGCTCATCTTGTTGAGGAATTAAAAAGAGGTTTTATACTTCCCACATCATCTCCCTCCTTATAAAAGAACCATTCAACACTCCCTCAGGCCTGCAGCCCAGCCCCGCACCCCTGCTGCCCTCCATTCGGCGGCACTGAGGAGCACTGCAGACGGCACCAGGACTTCTGCTCTGCCGTTTGTTTGCAAAGCGTGAGACGATCTCTGCGTTTCCACAGCAAACGAGTAATCTGGTGGGGATGGGAAAAATGACCTTCTATTCCCCTGCTAAGGCCATTTAGCATTGAGAAATAGAAAAATTAAGATGAAAATTATGCTGCATAAGTGCCTTGAGGGATTAGCATGCTGCACAGACCCACAGAGAGAGACAGATAACTGTGCAGGAGGAAAGTCTGAAGCATCATAAAATCCCCCACTGCTGCTTTAGAAAGTGACAGGGCAGAGGAAGTATCTAGACAAGGGAAAAAAGAGCTCATCTATCACCATCAGGCACCTGGAAGAAATGCCCGCTTCTGCTTTGGGGATTTTAAGGCACAGTCAAATGCCGTTCCAAGCTGCATTCTGTGTGTCCCTGAGGTGGAGGAACCCAGCGATGCCAGCAGCACCTGGGTAGCAAGGCACAACTCTCAAGGCCAGGTTGGATGAGGGCCGGGCAGCCTGAGCTGATATGGGGGAGCCCTGCCCATAGCAGGGGTTGGGGCTGGGTGGGCTTTGAGGTCCCTTCCAACCTGAGTCATTCTATGAATCTATGTCTCTATGGAGAGGACTTACGCTAAACTGCATTCTCCAACATTGCTACTAACAGTGAAAGCTTTACTACATTTCTCTTTTAATAAAGAATAACCCGAAGTGCGCACGCACTGCTGTTACTTTGAGGACTGCTGCTTCTCAACACATAGTGAGAGCTGCCTGGCTTTTAAAGTCAGTCCCATGTACCTGATAAGCAAGAAGGAAGGCAGTGCAACTCAGCAAAACCGCCTGAAGGTTCCTCTTTCTGCCTTACCCCGGTGCCAGAAAATCAATTAATTTCACTTTCCCTACTTATCTATTTAATATTTAATTTGCTGTTTGTTTTAATTGAAAATAAGCTTACAACACTGAAAAGAAAGCTATTGTAAATAACTTGGGTTTTCCCACTGGGGCGCTGATAAGAGTTAAGTTCATGGCACTAAGCAATGATGTGTGCAGCTCTACAGGAAATGTTAGCTGTGCAGAAATGCCATTATGAAGGCGGTGATAACTCCGGCCTGCTTGCTGATCCCCTGCCGATGTCAGCTTTTCCCAGGGCTGTGGGTGCTCGCTGTGGGACCACCCATGCCACGCATGCAATTGCAGGCAGCCAAAGCCCGCCCCATCTTTCTGCATCCTTCTGCAGTAGATAAGGCAGAGGGCGAGCGGGGCACACACTGACACCCAGCAGTGAGCCGTAAATCACCTTGCATCCTGCGACTTCTGTGTTGTGTTGTTACAGCCGTACACACATAAAGGCTTTCCATGTTGTTACTAAGGGTGTTGCTGGAATACAAAAGAAGTATTTGGAGGAAGCGAGCTTTCACATGGAGGTATTAACGTGCCAGTAGCTCTCCTGTACATATAAACCACAGATGGAGCGTGTCCAGAGGAGGGCCACAAAAAATGATCCAAGGCATGGAACCCACAGCACATCCCAATCCTGGTTGTCTCAAAACTGTTGCAGCAGAAGAGCCTTGCTGCTGGGAACAAACCCTGCCCAGATGGGCTCTATTTTATTTTACCCCTCAGAGCAGCACGGCGATGCCCACGCAGCAGCAGCAGCTTGCTCAGCTTGCACTGAGCCGGACACGCGCTCAGAGCCCCAGACAGCACATGGAAAGCTGATGTATTGAACCTGACATGCGAAGGACAAATATAAATTTGCCAGCCATAATTACTGCTGAGTCACGTGCCGCAGAGTTTGGCGACATCCCTGCAACCTCACTGCAGTTTTCACGCTCCAAATTCCTGTTCAGACGGGGGAACACGAGGCCCTGCTCCTGCGACCGAGGGAACATCCACCTGCATCACTTCTTTGGGACAGGGGCACTGGAGGCTGCTGCACTGCCTTGGGTAACCCACAGGGATGTCGAAACGACAGCAGGTGGGGGCCTAAGAAATCCCCCATGAAAGTGATGGAGGGAAAAACTGGATGTACTCAGGGGATGGATGTCTCTTGTGCCAGGGCTCCCGGGATCCACCACTCCTTGACCCACATGCTTCAACACACGCACTGTGCCCACGTGTTTGATTCTGGAGCGAGACAGTAGGAAGGATGCAGACTTACAATGGCATTAAAAGGCTTCTTAGGCTTGAAAAGCAAACGGCATGATTTTCCTATGGGAAAAAATATTTTAAACAATTTTTCCTGTCATTAAACATCCCATCTAACTGATTATTTAGTATTGTTTTCAATCAAAACATTCTATTTGCCAGCGAAGCAAAGAAAAATGAGCTGCTTGAGAGCACAGAGCTAAACAAAACAAATGAGAGCTGTGACTTTACAGTAAATTTTTTAAAACACGCATTTTGTTTTCCCAGCAATCGATACCCCAATGATAACAAGAGGAAAAGGATATCAATTAAATGTAATTGCCAGTCCCGCTTCCCCCAAAACCCACAACAAAAAGCACTCAGCGTCAGCCTGATAAAATATTTGCTCCTTTCCCAGTCGAGAGCTTTATTAAACAGTCCTTAAAGCACTGTGTTTCCTACAAAGGGTCTCAGAGTTTGATGTCAGTGACACGACTTCAAAGCCTTGCCAGCTCCTCGGCAGAGGTTTGTTCCCAGCTCAGCAACCCTCAGCTCGCTCTTTCCTCCCAACCCACT